TTCTTCTTTAATTTTCGTTTTGTTCATCGGAAATTCAATTGCTCTTTGTCCCTGTGTCTTCACCGCTGGTGCTGGTTTCTGTGTTCCCTCTGAAGAGGCCTGGGAGGGAGAACTCGAATCTTGGGAAGTTGATGGTTTTGGTGAAGTTTCAGTATGTACTATGTCCTGGTCCCTGAGCGCTTTGCGAGCAGCTTGGCTGTAAGGTGCCGTCATTAGGGTGCGTTGGGTGGAAGAACCGGCGGGGATTGGGCTACCCAGGGTAGGCGTGAGTGACAAGGATTGTGAGATGCGAGGTCGGAGCGTCACGTGATCTGCCTTCCTGTATCTTCTTACCGGAGCACTGAGTATGTGATGAGGGCGGTGTGATACCCTGAAAGTAGATTGAGTGGGGTTGCTTACAATTACCCAAGGCCTATCGAATGGTTTTCCACCTTTTGGGGGCAATGTTTTGTGGCCTGAGGGTCAGCTTTCCTGGTCGGACAGAGGAGAGGGGGTCAGTCACGCATTGGGAGTTGCTATTATCTGAGGAGGTTTCCGTCGGAAGCAGTAGGATCGTTCTTGGTAGTTACAAGGAGTACGGAGGGCATTGGATTTTCAAGCTCGTCCTTTGGATGGAGGTATCTTCGTCGGGTTGGTTAAAACCCGAAGGACTCTTTGTTTTTGGTGGCCCTTGAAAAAACGGACAGAGATTCCTTTTCCCCTTTTAAGGGGGGGGATTCTTCTCGGGGAGGGAATTGCCCTCCTCAACGCCCAAAGAATAAAGAATTTAAATGAATCAAAGAATGTAATCAAAGTATTAACGACAATAATTGAAGGAATAAATGAACCGAATAATAATTATCTAATCTGCACAGCGCTTGCTTTATCTTGCTTGGTTCCCGTTTCAGGACGCTATAGGAATTCGCTGTGCGATGGCGGGGTCGAGGGGGGGTCGGGTTGAAGGGGTGGGGGCTATGTTAGGGGCTAGGGTAGTGTATTGGTGGTGAGCGTGGTGCTCGTTGTTGTGTGATGTGGGTTGGGTAGTGTTGGGCTTTCTGTGCTATCTTGGGGACTATAGCTTCGGGGAGGTTGGGCGAGTACATGGCGAGACGAGAGGGGTGGTGAGGGATAAACATGCTCTTAACATGTTCTTTTTGCGAGCGTCGATGAGCGGTGGGATGCGGGGGAAAGTTGAGTTCTTCCGGGGAGAATTGTGCTGGCTAGGTTGTTCTTTCTTATTTAGTACTGCCCGACTCCTACTATTTGGTCCAACAATTGAAACACAATGTCCACGTATGGGTGTGTGGTACTACCTATCTATCTCTTGACAAAATTGAGTCCTAGGTCTGTACTGGTTTGTCTCTCTCTCCCTTCTATTGTTGCCTTCCGTTGTCGCTGTTCATTTCTTTTTGAGAGCTTGACCCTTCGTCCTTCCGCTGTCCTCTGTGTACCAGCCGATGAGGTTGAATGGCGTTGTCTGATCTTACCTTGAACATCCACTCGAGGCTGTTCAAACATGGTGCGGCTTGATGATGGTGCAAGACTGTTTTGTCGTGTACTTTTTCAGCGAGCAATGATTCCTTGTTCATGTCGGCTCTGCCTGTTGTTCTTCCGTGTTTGGAAAAATTCCCTCTCGCCTTCCTTTCCCTTGCTCAATCCTTGCCCCTTTTTGTCCTTGCCTTCTCTTAGGGTTCCCCGCTTCCCTCACACTCGATCATTCCGATCTTCCTCCTCCTCCTTTCTCCTCCCTTCTCTCTCTTACGCTTGATGGCCCTATGCTTAGCTTGGGGCGGCCACACCCGACTGTTTTGTCGCGTATTGCTTCAGCGTGCAATGATTCCTTGTTCGTGCCGGTTCTGTCTGTTGCTCTTCCGTGTTTGGAAAAAATCCCTCTCGCCGTCCTTTCCCTTGTTCGATCCTTGCGCCATTTTGTCCTTTCCTTCTCTTAGGACTCCCAGCTTCCCTCACGCTCAATCATTCCGATCTTCCTCCTCCTCCTTTCTCCCCCCTTCTCTCTCTTACGTTTGACGGCCTTATGATAAGCTTGGGGCGGCCACACCCGAAGGCGTGGCGTGTTGTGGTGACACGTGCTCACCATTTGTCTCCCCCATCTCTCACCTCGAATTCGAAGGTCGAAGCGCACGAAGGTTCGCGCGCAACGATTTCCCGTTTCGCCTCGAAACCGCTACGGGCGCGAATTAGCGCGGTGTTAGCGCTTACCAGACCGGCGCACGCGAGAAAACTCTCTCCGTCAATACCTTGGGATTCTCGTGTCACCATGTGCATACATATTAGTATATTACGTAGTCTTTTTTTCTTCTTTTTTTGTTTGCAGCAAAACCGTGCTCCGATTCTGGGGGGCTTCGGTCCTGTTCCTTTTCCCTGTTGAGTAACCCCTCTGAAGAAACATGCATGAAATCAGATCGAAGTTTCCCTCTCAGCCTGACCGTGGGTGCCACCCGTGGGCGGCTGCTCGAGTAAACCCTAAACCCTAAATCCTAGGAATTGTCTGATCCCCGCTTTGTGCCCGTTCCTCCACTGTGTTGACTGTCTGCTGCCGCCCGCTGAGTGTCCCCTTGGTCCTACCGACTGCAACCGACTGCCCCCCGGGGGTCACCTACTCGCCCTTGTGTTCCTTTGTTGTCTCTGTAGTGTACTTGTTGACGTGGGCTGCTCTTGCCGTAGAAGTCTTCCCTCTTTTTGCCCCTAGCTCCTTACTACGCCTGGGTCAGGGGGCTCTTCATGCGTGATCGAGGCTGATGGCTGTGGAGGCCGGTATGCTGTGTATCGAGCTTTCCTGTTGTTGCTGCAGAGTGTGAGTACCCCTGTGTGCACTGTGTCCCAGTTGAATTTTGCTATTCAAGTCGGTTTTCTCTTATTTCCCCTATCTTGCCGTCACCCAGGGTTGAGTACACCAAAGCCGAACACGCACAAGCGCACATGAGATATTAACCAAAATGGTCGCAATTTGCGAGGCATAAGGCCTCAATAAGCCCTACTGGGCCCCTATTTGCAACAGGTCGGCCGCCCTAAGTGAAGGCAGGCTTGACAGATGACAAGAGGCCTATTTTGGACTACCTAGCAACTGGGGAAAATTCAGGCAGTTGCGCAGCGCCAGTTGGTTGAAGGCGCCCAGGCCCTGGCCTCCTTTACCGAATGCATCTAAGTCAGGCCCTGGGCGAGACACGCAGCATAGGCCCAACTCAGACAGCGGGCAGTTGGGCACGGGTAACTGTCGGTGGCCCCGGGCCTGATTCGTTTGGTCTGAGGCTCAGCCTCCCTGGGCCTACCGGAAGCTTCTGGACAGGGCCCCAACGCAGCCAGGCTACACGCAAGCAGGCTGGCCACTTCCATTTAGGAAAGGGCCAGCCCACACATTCGGCATTCGGGCACTGGCTGCATGCTGCGCTAACGCTGGCCAGGCTCACGCGCTCACGGGAGAGTTGGAAGGAGCAGGCAGCCATAGCCGAGCTGCGCTGCTGGATGGGGCGCATGGTGGTCCTTGGGTGCAAGTGGCATCTGTGAGTTGGGGAATGAGGTTGTGAGTGATACGAGAGACCTACCTGGTGCTTGAGGCGTGCGGCATTGGCCGAGATCTGCTCGTACTTGGGAAGTTGTTGACGTCATCAGCGGCATTGTAGTCTAGGCTAGATAGGATCTGCCATTCGTAGTCTGGGTGTCGAGCGCCATATAGGATATGAACATTGGTTCTTCATTGATAATGATGAGACTATTCCAGCATTGTCAATTATGAGCTTTTGGTGTGCTTTTATTTGGTGAAACTCGTGATGCAATTCTGCTATTGGTTCGAGGTCACGACTATCTGGTCTCATGTGTATGATGCTGTTTGATTTCTGGAGTTCGCTATTGCTCATCTTCCTTGCAATTTGGTATCGGAGTTGTGGTACGGTGCACTAATCTGGCACTTGTCTTCTGCCTAATGCGGTAGATGCACGCGGTGTGTGAGGTGAGCGACCGTGCCGTGGGACGCGTGTTGTGAGGAGGGCAAAGATAAGTAGGCGACCCAGGTGGAGAGGGGTTCGCCAGGAAGGCTAAGCGGTGATTATTGGGTGTTCGCAGTGTGATGAGAATTATCCGGTGTGTGATTGATGCTGAGGTGGAACGGTGGTACAATGCTGGTTGTGTCGAAGCAGCGATTGGTCATCACAATCAACATCGGGTCATCTGGTGAGAATACCTGTGGTTGGGGGCAGCTATTTTGAGGTACGTTGCACCTAACCTTTTCTACCCTCTTCGACACTTCTTACCGTGAGGATGTGTGTTCTGTCTTGAGAGTCCTCTCATGTGAGGAGTCGTGTGCGCTCAACCTTGAGAGTCGCCAGTCTTCACGTGGAGCATCTGGAAGGAGAGGGCGGTGCTATCTGAAGGGCCCTGGACAAAGCACTGGGTCACGGTCACCATGCCAACCCACCGGGAGTAGAGCACCGGGCGTCTATAAATAAGCACCGGCGGGGTACCCTCCATTGGCTGTGATCGTCGTCCAGTCTGCGACATTAAAGAATTCTTGAGGACTTTGGGGGCCATCCATAAAAACGCCTCCTGATCAGCCAATCGGTCGGTGTAAGGTTCGCTGCACACGAGGATAAAATTTGTGCAGGGCCGGCCAACTCAGCAGGACTCGGGCCGTGTGCACACATTTAGACACGCATGCTGTCCGGATTGCTTAGGGACTTTGACGACAAGAGACATTCAGGAAGAACTAAGGGAGAGGTAGATTCCAGGTGATAAGTTTGGGTAAGATTCCACTCTGCAAACAGACCCAACAAATGATTCTATTTTTATTTTGATTAGTTAGATGTACAGCCATTAACATCTGACAGACAACATAGTTTAGAACTGTTTTCTGTTCACTGTGCTTCTGTTTGCGAAACTAGTCAAAGTCAAAGTAGTTTCGTTTGTAGGAACCTGAACTTACCTGTTGGACCCAAATGTATATACTCTTTGACGCAGCCACCGATTAATTAGTTTAATTATAAGTCGGTTTGTGCACTACGCTGCGGTGAGCATCAAAGAGTGTCTTAGTGCAGATTGTGTACAGTTCTGTAGCCTATGAGCGATAGGGATACCACTAGTGAGGACGACCAGATCTTGCGATCGGCTAGATGCCCAATTGCCCACGTGGCATTAGGACCCGAGGGTGATAGGTTGCTGTTCCGCCAGCAAAGGGAGAGGCAGCAGCAGCAGCGAAGAGCTAGGGCAGCAGAGGCCAGCAGGGCATTCGCAAGCGAAACCGCAGTTTCAGCAGTCATGGCAACTGCTGCGCAGCAGAGTTCCCAGGCTAGCAGTTCAGGTACCGTAGGGTCAACGGTTGCGCAGACCTTGAGTCAGTCCACTGGCGTCATGGCAAGCCAGCCATTAGTGTTGACTTCTGATGGGTTCGCCATACAACAGGCAGCACTGCAGGAGGCACAAGTACATAAGGCCTTAGGAGTGATAAAAGTGGAGAAGGAAAAGATGATTAGAAGAAGAGCCAGGATGCAGCGGAGCCAAGTTAGAGGGAATAGGACCTGACGCACATGGATGACGATGTGAGGACGTTGCGGACAACCCTGCTGGGTGTTGTAGAGATGTAGGACCACCACACGACTCTCCTTCAGGACATCCAGCAGAGTCTGGCCTTGTTGGTCGGGCGAGCGCTGGCAGCACCATCGCCATCCGGGCCTGGTGCCTGGCCCGTTGTACAACCTCCTCCTTATGTCCCACCGGTGACTGGGGTATCCCCATATGTCTCCCCAACATCGGTCCAAACCGTTTCCCTGGGTATGTCGTTGGCAGGAGGGTTCTCAGCAAGTCCTAGTGTACAGGTTCCTATACAGACAGTGTTCTCCCAGCCTCCGTCACAGGTTGCCGTAAGCGGGCAGCCTGCTGTCTCGCAGCCTGCACAGCCGCAGGGTACACAGCCCCAGCAGCAGCTTGTGCAGCAGCCTGCACCCCAGGGTCCAGAGCCCGGATTGGTGTAGGTACCAGGACAAAGTCAGTGGGTTCCAAAGACGGCCATTGCCGCTCCTAAACCCTTTACAGGGGATAAGAGGGGCGAAGACCTCGACACATGGTTGAGGGCAGTGCCAGTCTATGTCAAGTGCAAACTTACCTTGCCGCACGAGGAAGTGCTTGTGGCTGCCTCCTATCTAGAGGGGAGTGCAGCAAGATGGTTGACTTGTTTAGTGTAGCTACAGGGGTACGGTCATGACTTTCGCGCTTGGGCGGTCACCCAGAAACTGGATGACTTCAAGATGATGGAAGACAGGTGGCATGATCCTCAAGAGGCCCAAAAGGCTACTGACGCGATCCTGACACTGCATACCAGGCAATTTAAGTCAGTAAGAGAGGCCATTGACGCAGTACAGTGTCTGATCTGTGTCCCTGGGGTGCGCTATGACCCCCAAGTCTTACTCACCTCCTACCTGAGATGCTTTCCCATGCCTCTCAGGAATCAGTTGGCAGGTGAGGCCAACATCAATATGCACAACTTTCCCTCGTTTAGCAAGAAGGCCCTAGACCTTGAAGCAAAGATAGGGCATGGTGATACACCCACGACGGATGGAAGGAAAAAGTCACTGCCTCCCAACTGGAAAGCGAAGAGACGCATCATGTTCGTCGACAACGATGGTTCCACCATCGATGGTTCCACCATCGAATTGGACTACGACTTCCAGTCGGGAGTGGGTTCAGAGGTCGGCAGCGTAGAAGCTTCAGGGGGTGGAGTAGTCGTTGTCGTAGCTCGAAAAGGTAAGGCCACCAGTAGACGTCGTGGAGGTTCCCGGTCTAGGAGTCAAGTTGACCCCAATGCTCCTCCATGGGAGAAAGCGGATCTAACAAAGGACGTGCGCAGAGACCGGTACACCCGGCAGGCTTGTATTCGTTGCGGCCAATATGGCCATAATCAATTCAAGTGCCATAACAAAAAGGTGACCGAGAAGATCCCGCCTACGATGGGGCAGGCGTTGGGATCCTCCGCTCCCGTTGGTAGCAATGTGGCCAGCAGTTTTGGCACTGCTCCGGGAAACGCGTCAGGCCAGTAGGAATAGTAGCTGTTCCTGCTAGGGTCGAGGTGGTGGACACACTGTCACCATCTCGGGAGATGGCCCAAGCTATTGACTCCATCGTCGTCCCGCAAACACATTCTGACCCATCGAGCCTCTGTTCAATGAATGTGTTTGAGTCCTTAGAGGAGCYAGAGGAGGAGTGGTCCAAATCAGACCCGCTAGCTTCTTGGACGACATTGGCTAAAGCCCCTAGGAGTGAGATATTCGTCGGGGAGGTAGTCATCGGCGGCCGTAAGGCCGGGCCTATTATGACACTTGCTCGACTAGGAGCTTTATTAGTCGCGCGTGTGTTGAGAGGCTGCACTTACAGGGGCAAGTGCGACGCCTGAGTCGACCTGTGGAGTCGACCTGTGGAGTCCATGACTACCTACAGAATGTTGAGTTTGTTTCCCGTACGCGGGAGGGGAACTGAGACATCGCGTCTCGTTCCTAGTGAGCAATGATCTCCCTATGGATATCTTGTTAGGTATGTACTACCTCTCCGTTGCACAGCCCCAGTTTGACTGGGACCAAAAAGTGGTCAAACATACTTTGCCAGGTGGGGGAACCGCCAAATTACGTAAGTTCAAAGCTAGTAGTCTGATTGAGTCTTACGGATGCATGTGTCCGGCCACGTTCTATAACTATTATAAGCAAAATCTGGAGGAGGGTATGTATCTAGTATATATCTCTGCCGCATGCGAGCCGGTGAAAATGTTGCCGGAGATAGAGGGAGTAGTTGCCAAGTGTCCTGATTTATTTGAAAAGCCTACAGGGGTTGTTGAGAGGGAGGTCGTCCATGCGATAGAGATTATCCTAGGGTCTACTATCCCAAAGGGTAGGATCTATCGGATGTCTCCAGGTGAGCTTGATGAGCTCCGCCGGCAACTCAAGGAACTCGCAGAGAAGGGTTGGATCCGACCAAGTGTCTCTCCTTATGGTTCTCCAGTCCTATTCGTACCAAAGAAGGGGGGCACTATGAGGATTTGCATTGACTATAGGGGCCTCAATGCCATCACTGTCAAGAACCGAGAGCCCCTACCGCGCATCGACGACTTGTTAGATCGAGTGCAAAGGTGTCGATACTTCAGTAAGATAGATCTGAAGTCCGGGTACCATCAGATTGCTATACGGCCCAAGGATCAGCACAAAACCGCATTTCAGACCAGGTACGGTCTGTACGAGTTTGTGGTGATGCCTTTCGGCCTTTGCAATGCTCCTGGCACCTTTCCTTTTTTTTTTTTTTTTTTTTTTTTTAATACCCAACACACACACAGCCCCTTCTATTCTGGGGGGCATCACTCCGGTTGCTAATCAGCACGCGATGAATCGGATCTTTTATGACTACTTGGACAAGTTTGTCATCATGTACCTCGATGACATACTTATCTTTAGTAGGACTGTCGAAGAGCACGTAGCTCATTTGGACAAAGTCCTTAGTCTCCTTCGACACCACACGTTCAAGATCAACGGTGAGAAGTGCGAGTTTGGCCGCACCCGTATCTTGTACTTGGGTCATGAGATTTCCGCGGAGGGATTAAAGCCCGATGACGCGAAGGTGGCCAGCATTCGTGACTGGCCGCGTCCTCAGTCTGTGACTGAGATGAGGTCTTTCTTAGGGATGACCGGCTACTACCGCAACTTTGTAAAGAACTATAGCATGGTGGCCTCCCCTTTGACTGACCTGACGCGCCTTGACACCCCATGGGAGTGGACAGACAAGTGCGAGGCTGCTTTCAGACATCTGAAGCATGCGTTGACGCACCATGAGGTCTTGAAACTTCCTGATCCCGACAAGCCGTTTATAGTAACTACGGATGCTAGCCAATATGGCATAGGTGTCGTGCTCGCGCAGCAGGAGGGGCCAAAGGTGAGGCCAGTTGAGTACATGTCCAAGAAGATGTCGTCTCAGAAGTTGGCTAAGTCCACTTATGAGAAAGAGCTCTACGCGATTTACAAGGCACTGACCCATTGGGGACATTACCTCCTTGGGAGGTTCTTCATCGTCAGGACTGATCATCAGACCCTGAAGTGGATGAGAACCCAACCAGTGGTCTTCGATGCATTGAAGCACCGGATCGAAGTCATTCAACAGTATGACTTTGAACCGCAGTATCTCAAAGGGGAGTACAACAAAGTTGTTGATGCCTTATCGCGCAGACCTGATTTCTCTGGTGCGCTGATTACTGAGTTCGAGCTCGCGGACAATGTCACTCGTTCTTTGGTGGAAGCCTATCGCAAGGACCAGTTTATGTCTGAGATCATACGCAGACTCGAGGCGAAGGACAACGTGACTTCTGTCGAGTTTGAGTTGGTCAACGGACTGCTGTTCTTTGAGAGGGCAGGGAATAAACGTCTGTGTGTGCCAGATAGAGAGTCTTTGCGTAGTTTATTTTTAGGAGAGTATCATGACGCCATCGGCTATTTTGGCTACAAAAAGACAACAGCTAATCTGCTGCAGCGGTTCTGGTGGCCCACGATGATGAGAGACGTGAAGCTGTACGTGGAAACTTGTCAAGTCTGTCAGAGGGACAAGCCACGTACACAAGCTCCTCTTGGGGTTTTGAAGCCCCTTCCGATTCCGGAAAGGTCTGGTGAAAGCCTGTCCATGGACTTCATGGATACGCTAGTCACCAGCAAGAGTGGATTGCGTTATATCTACGTCATTGTGGATAAATTTAGTAAGTACGCTAGGTTGGTCGCAACGCCAGCAACAGCTAAGACCGAGTACGTAATTAAGCTGTTCAAAGAAAACTGGGTCAAAGATCTTGGATTGCCAAAATCTATAGGTGAATGGGCAAGCAGAACAGTTGAACCGCGTTGTACAACACCTGCGGAGGCACTACATCAAGCCAAATCAGGCAGACTGGGATGAGAAACTTGCTCTCATGGCCAGCCTGTACAACAACGTTGTGCACAGCGCAACGGGCGTAAGCCCGAACAGTCTGCTATTGACCTTTAAGCCTAGACTGCCCTTGGATTTCTTACTACCTGAGAACCAGTCCTCTACTGCACCAGGGACCTTAGAGTTTGCTTATCGATATGAGTGACTGATGCAACAGGCTGTCGAACAGATGCACAAGGCACAGGCGGCGATGATAGAGTCTGAGAACAAACACCGCCACCCGTCCACATTTCAGGTAGGGGAGAGAGTCTGGGTTAAGTCCTCAGAATTGGGACAGGAGCACGGGATCTCCCGCAAGCTCATGCCACAGTACTTTGGACCATGGGAGGTCCTAGATGTTGTGGGGGATGAACCAGATGGACCGTCATATGTTATTCGCATCCCTGGTCACTTACACATTTACCCTGTGTTTCACGCTTCCAAACTCGCACCTTTCAAGGAAACAGATCAGTTTCCCTCTCGTCGCTCAATGCTGCCCCCAACCATGGATGGAGAGGTCGACATCGATGACATTGTAGATCACCGAGAAATGCCAGTTCCAAGACCTGCAGGCAGGGGACGTCCTCCAAAACCGAAGCTGCAGTATCGAGTTCGGTTCAGACATCATACTGATCGAAAGGAGGCTAGATGGTTCACAAGGGAGGAACTGATGCAGACCGCTCCACAGGTCGTCGTTCAATATGAGAAGTCTCTGCAGAAAGGAAAGCGCCAGATTATCGAAGATTGAACTTCTCAGAGGACTAGCGAAGTATGGAGGAAGGAATGCGAGGCAGAAGGCCTCAATAAGTCCTACTGGGCCCCTATTTGCAACAGGTCGGCCGCCCTACGTGAAGGCAGGCTCGACAGACAACAAGAGGCCCATTTTGGACTACTTCGCAACTGGGGAAAATTCAGGCAGTTGCGCAGCGCCAGTTGGTTGAAGGCGCCTAGGCCCTTGCCTCCTTTACCGAATGCATCTAATTCAGGCCCTGGGCGAGATACGCAGCATAGGCCCAACTCAGACAGCGGGCAGTTGGGCACGGATAACTGTCGGTGGCTCTGGGCCTGATTCGTTTGGTCTGAGGCTCAGCCTCCCTGGGCCTACCGGAAGCTTCTGGACAGGGGCCCAGCGCAGCCAGGCTGCATGCAAGCAGGCTGGCCACTTCCATTTAGGAAAGGGCCAGCCCACGCATTCGGCATTTGGGCACTGGCTGCATGCTGCGCTAACGCTGGCCAGGCTCACGCGCTCACGGGCGAGCTGGAAGGAGCAGGCAGCCATAGCCGAGCTGTGCTGCTGTATGCTGGATGGGGCGCATGGTGGTCCTTGGGTGCAAGTGGCGTCTGTGAGTTGGGGAACAAGGTTGTGAGTGATACGAGAGACCTACCTGGTGCTTGAGGCGTGCGGCATTTGCCGAGATCTGCTTGTACTTGGGAAGCTGTTGACGTCATCAGCGGCATTGTAGTTTAGGCTAGATAGGATCTGCCATTCGTAGTCTGGGTGCCGAGCGCCATATAGGATATGAACATTGGTTCTTCGTTGATAATGATGAGACTATTCCAGCATTGTCAATTATGAGCTTTTGGTGTGCTTTTATTTGGTGAAACTCGTGATGCAATTCTGCTATTGGTTCGAGGTCATGACTATCTGGTCTCATGTGTATGATGCTGTTTGATTTCTGGAGTTCGCTATTGCTCATCTTCCTTGCAAATTCATGTGTACAATTTTATTTTATTTTTCCAAAAAGGGATGCAACCTACGACCGACGCCCAAACACAAATTCAAACAGTCGCTGCAACCCAACCAAAATAGTCGCTGCAACCTGCGACTGCCTCCCCAACACACTCTCAAGTATGGTCACTCTCGTCCTGAACCTCACTCCTTACGTCTCTCTCCCTGTCCAAGGTTTCTTCTCTCTCTCTCTCTCTCTCTCTCTCTCTCTCTCTCTCTCTCTCTCTCTCTCTCTCTCTCTCTCTCNCTCTCTCTCTCTCTCTCTCTCTCTCTCTCTCTCTCTCTCTCTCTCTCTCTCTGTGCATGTCTCACACTCCACCTCACTGTGTGTGCTTGCTACCAACTCACAGAGCAGCACACTTTGCAACATCCCAACATAGCGCAGCATTGTTTCCGCACGACCCAGCAAGTGAATATGTTCCGATGGCTTCCCCAGCTGCACTTTTGTACTTGTCGTTTCACCTTCGCGACTGCAGCTATGGGTCCGGGCCGGTATCCCTTGCCATTGTTTGTCGCTCCCAGAAGTTTTGCAGACTTTCCTGGGACTTTTGCTTCTGATTCAGCCCCTGGCAGCTGGCCTAACGACTCGTACTAACTTTTTTTCAGTTTTTTTCCTATCCCATAACTGATATCTACCAGGAATTTCCTACCACAGCCTACTAAAGCTAACCTACGGGGGCTAAATTACCAGCCTGCAGACTCTGGGCTGGACCCTACCTGGGACGCAGAATATGGTACATGGAGCTGAGACTGGAACTGAGTGGGAACTTAGGACTCGGGGTGGGAACTGGGACTGCGTCAGGTGGCTGTGAAACCCTTTCAATAAACTAAAATACACTTTAATAAAGTTTAGTGAACCAAAAGTCAACCAAAGATCAAAGAAGTTTAATAAACCGAAGGCCAACCAAAGATAAACGCGAGAGACAGTGTAAGTTGAAAGTCAAAAGTCAAAAGGTTCAGTGCCTGTGTGAACGCAGATGATGCAATCAGACTCACTTTCTTCCACAACTCACATGCATGTAAACAGGTAGCGCAGCAACTGGCAACAAGCGCTCACTCAGAACTCAGAGATATGGTAAACAAGAACGCAGTTCAGATACAAGCTCACTTCAAATGGCTATCTGTTCGTCGCCAACACAACTCTGCTGTTCACACACACAGGATCACCCTGGATATCCCACACGCGTCACACTGTACACACTCGCACACACACACGCACATACACACACTACGCTCTCCTATCAGCTATGGCGGCTATGGCCGCTACTACACCTATCGCTATGGCTAAGCTCTCCTCTCGCCCACTTCGTCTTTGGGCTCACTGCAGACCACCTCGCACAAGTCGCTGTGGCAGCGCTTCCGCATGGCTTACACAGGAATGAATGAATGAATGGGCGCTGCATCTTGATTTATACTTCTGTTGCTCGTTGGTCTGCCCCTTTTCCATGCCCGTGGTGCACACAGTCCCTTACGGTACTTGCTTGCCTGGACCAGGACTGACTGGGACTGGGTACCGCTGACTCAGCACAGGTGGACTCCACCACTTGCCCACTTGCCTCTGGCCTTCTGTAAACAACGAGCGAAGGGCCACTTCCGGACCTTCCGGAAATCTGTGGAATTGGCCCTTCGACACTGTAGCAGCTACAGCCCTACGACCTTGACCTTTCAGGGCTGTAGCAGCTACGACCTTGACCTTTCAGGGCTGTAGCAGCTACGACCTTGACCTTTCAGAAGTCCTACAGCTATGACTTCTAGGACCTACGAAGACCTCCAAACAACAGGTCTACAGATTGAACCCCTACCACCTACAGACCCTACGACAGTCTACTAACGGTTACGAACACACAGGTCATGGGTTCAACTACGGGGTCGACATGGATACTGTACACAGGTAAGGTGAGGATTAGGGATCGAGCCCTGGGACCTGCATCCGCTACTGCGAACAGGTGAATACCGTTTCACAGAGATAAACCGAAGATAAAATGCAGTATTACACTGTGAACTTGCGTAAGATTGATTGCAGTATTACACTGAGACAGCTATAACAATTTATCAAATAGAGGACTATTTCCCAGGATTGAGGAAAATAGTGGGAGAGATAGAGAGAGAGAGTTGGCAATCATCATGACAAAAACAAAGCATTCTTGGGCGATTGTGGTAATCGCAATATGAGTATGTGACCCAAAAAAGGGAAAGCATGATGACAACAAGCATCACGGGAAAAACTTGCCCTGATTACGGAAGTGGGTGATTGCGACAAATCCGGTTGTGAACCCTGGACCTCGGCCTACAGGCCTACAGTAGTACTCAATTTTGCAGACAAATCCCTCGGTACGTGTATGGTTACACATTTGTCCTATAAAGATTTTGAACCCAAGCGGATCACGTGCATACTTAGAAAACACAGCAAAACACAGCTAAACAGACTCAGGTTCACATCCACATGGTGCACCCATTAGTGGCAGATCACATGCATACTTGGAAAACACAGCCAAACACAGCCAGTGGGAATCCACGTGGTACACCCATTAGCGGCATATCACATGCATACTTAGAAAACACAGCAAAACAGAGCCAGTTCGAATCCACGTGGTACACCCATTAGCGGCAGATCACAAGCGTACTTAGAAAACACAGCAAAACACAGCCATACAGACTCAGGTTCGAATCCACATGGTGCATCCATTAGCGGCAGATCACATGCATACTTAGAAAACACCGAAAAACACAGCCAGACAGACTCAGGTTCGAATCCGTGTGGTACACCCATGAGCGGCAGATCACATGCAAAACACAGCAAAACCACAGCCAAACAGTCCAACAGACCCAGGTTCGAATCCAGAATTAGAATCCTCAGCAATCAGATAAAAAGGGCATCATCAACAGGCCTAGCTTAGTTCGTATGCCCATGAACTGTTGAAATACAGACCCAGGTTCGAATTGCAAACGCAACCAGATGAACAAAAATCAAAATAATTCTGAAGTACTTGGGCCCAACAAGAAAAAGCGGTGGGGGGAAAGGAAACAGAATTTAAAAGATCGGCTGGGAGAGCGCATGCGCCGCTGGGGTAGCGCGCTGAG